AGCACTGTTCCAGTGAGCCGTGGGTCGTGGGGCCAGGAACACAGTTGGTACTTCTCTGGTTACCATGTACTGAAGTCGATTCTTGTACTGAAGCTTGACCCGAAGGTAGCCGGTAACATCACATTCCTTTTCCTGGGTCACAGTCCATACCTCCAAATTCTCATTCCCCAAGGCCATGCCAAGGAGGATCCCAAGACCTGTGGACCACACCACAAAAGCCCATGAGCACCAGGCACTGTATCTATACTGCCCTTGGTATGCATATCTGTATGCAACTGTCATCCATTTCCTTTTTTATAATTTTTAAAACTTTGTTAATTTTTTTATTTTATGTGTATGTGTGTATTGCCTGCATGTAGGTAAGTGCACCCGTGTTGTGCAATGCCCGCAGAGGTCAAAAGAAGCTTGAACTGGAGTTATGAACAGTTGTTAGCTGCCATGTGGGTTCTGGGATTCAAACCTGGGTCTTCTACAAGAACAACCAGTGTTCTTAACCGCTGAGCCATCTTTCCAGCCCCTGTCATCCATTTTCAAAGGTGACAAAAACCTGTGAGAGGTGACAGCAGGTGCACAGAGACCTAAAGAGGACCTGTCACCTAGAACAGCACAGCAGAGTTTCCAAGCAGGGACCCAACGTCTGGTCTCCAATCTCCCCCAGCTCCTGTTCTTTTTTTAATTTTATTTATTATTTTTATTTTATGTATATGTATGTATTGCCTGCATGTAGGTAAATGCATCTGTGTCATGCAGTGCCCATGGAGGGTAGAAGAGGCTGTCGGAGCCCCTGGGACTGGAGTTACAGACAGTTGTTAGCTGCCATGTGGGTGCTGGGATTCGAACCCGGGTCTTCTGCAAGAACAGCCAGTGTTCTTAACTGCTGAGCCATCTCTCCAGCCCCCCAGCTCCTATTCTTTGGGTAAGTACGTGTCCTGATTCCAAGCTACACTCAGCCCCTTGTCTAAGGTGACATGTTTTCAAAGCCTATTGTTGTGTTTCCATCCAGAGATTCGGGTATGAATTCTAGTTCCAGAGCTTACAATGACTCTTTGGTGACCGAGACACTTTCCCCTGCTCTCTCTGACCTTGACATTCTTCCACATTAAATGTACCCCTGATCTGTAGCTCCTTCCAGTTCGATGACTCTGGGATGCTAAGCAGAGCCCACAACTAATAATGGTCTGTCTTTTGAAACATTACCAGCCTTTACCACTAGGCGTCACTGTGGCATCAAAAACAGCCTTGGTACTTGAGAACGCGAGAAAAAAACACTGAGAGAAGGAACTGAGAATTTACAATAAAAACAAATAGGAATCAAATGGTTGAAGGGAGGAAAAGCAAAGCATAAAAGAGCAAAATGTGTCCAAAAGATCAATCAACCTCACTAATAAGAGAAATAAATTCAAAGGAAAATAATTAGATATTGTTTGTAACCGAAGAAAGATACCCCAAACCACCCAGGGATTGGCCCCTTTTACATGGAAATGGAAAGGTTTCAACAAGATCGTTTCATTTTAATAATCCTGATGCTCCAAAGGATTGAATCAGGTGTTCTTGTCCTAGAAATCCATTTGGCAAATGTAATTACAAAATGGGTTTAAATTCTACAGCTTTTGACCCATTAAGCCTTTGACCTACTAAACTCATAAACTGGAAGGAAAACAGGGAAGAGAGATGTAACCAAAAGCTTTATGGACAAAGACTTACTATGCAGTATTATTTTATTTTTTACATTAATTTATTTATTGGGGTAGAGTCTGTTTCAAAAGTATATGTGATGGAGGAAATACTTAAGATATGCTTAGCAAGCAGGGCGTGGTGTTGCACACCTTTAATTCCAGCACTTGGGAGGAAGAGGCAGGTGTGTCTCAGTGAGATCGAGGCCAGCCTGGTCTACATAGCAAGCTCCAGACCAGCTGAGGCTACAAGAAAACCCAGTTTCAAAAAAGAAAATATGTATGTATATATTTATACATGTGGATACTTTATTTAATGTGTATGAGTGTATTGCCTGCATGTATGTAAGTGCGCCCATGTCATGCATTGCCCACGGAGGTCAGATTTCCCCTGGAACTGGAGTTACAGATGGTTGTTAATGCCATGTGGGTGCTGGGAATCGAACCCTGGTCCTCTGCAAGAGCAGTCAGTGCTCTTAACCACTGAGCCATCTCTCCAGCTCCCATTAGGGACAGGACTTGAATTTTGTTAATTACTTATATGTATGTATTTGGAAAAATGTGATGGAAATAAATATACCAAATTTCTGTGGGAGATTTTTACACTCATCCTTACATTCTATAAGACATTCTTTTATGTTCTCTAGACAGTATCTATTATCATCATCATCATCATCATTACAGTTAGAAGCAATAATTATCTGCTTTCTTTTCATTTCTTTTCTTTTTTGACAAAGATAGGCAGACAGGTTGAGTCTTCTCCCTAATCTACCTGTTATAAGTAGATGTCACCAGTTAGACTTCCCCACCCACTTCCTGCAACCCTGAAAGGCTTTTGTCCTTATACAACCACTGGCCTGTGCCACTCTACTCTTTAGTAATGGTCATACACCCCGCCCCCATGCTGGGGCCAGTTAATGGTGACCCCAGGCAGGTGGTACTGCACCTGCTGGATTAAGGAAGAGAAGCATCCTCCTTTACCTCGATACTCAGGTCTGCTCATTCCCTGCCTCCCATATGGGCAGCAGTTGCCTGCCCTCTCCCTCTGCAAGACTCTGACAACCACCTTATGAGGTGGCAAGTTTCTCTCTCTCTCTCTCTCTCTCTCTCTCTCTCTCTCTCTCTCCCTGTGCACCTGAGACAGTACTAGGCTGAAAGAACAAATAAACACAACCAATGTCAGGCCAATGAGATGGCTCAGTGAGGTAAAAGCACTTGTCACAAAGCCTGACAGCCTGAGTTTGATCTCAGAAACCATATGGTAGGAGAGAACCAATTCCTGCAAGCTGTCCATTGGCTTCCACAAGCACACCATGGCACACATACCCATACACACAAAATAAATAACCACAACCAGTATTGATCCCTTTAACATGGGCTTGCTTTTGGTCATCAAGCCTCTCGCCAGGCATCCACCACTGCAGGTCAAGACCACTCCTGGGACCACCTGAGACTTTTGTTCCTGCCCTGCTCTACCCTGATAGAGCTTCCATGTCCCCTGATAATGTAGACCTCTTCTAAGGTCTCTCCAGGTCTCTTCCCCAGGCCCCCAGGGTCTCCTCTGCCTACATTAATCTTACCAACCTCTACCATCAGTACCACGTGGCTGGAATCACCAACTGCCCAGATCACAGAGCCTTGGGTACATCATGCCCTAAGGCTGTAACTGCATGGCCTTGGGGAATGGATGGTTCAACTAGAGTTTTGGGGAGGGCTAGCTTCTGGTAGTGGAAAGGAGAACAGGCATCTGAATCCCCCAGGGAGCCAGTTAAAATACCTAAGGCCCAGCCTCACAGTGAATCTCTTATCTAGCAGGCTGGGACTGGGGGTTGGCGGGGGAATGCCTTTACAGGACACTCCCAGGCAGCTGCCACTGATCCAGGGACACACTGAGAACCGTGGACCTGAGCAACACTTGCAACCTGGTGTCCCAACAACTGCATCTAGTCCAAAGGGACTGCACACAGAAATAGAAATCTCAGGTTGGAGAGATGACTTCATGATTAAGAACCCTTACTGTTCTTCCAGAGGGCCCAGGTTCAATTCCCAGCACCCACATGGCAACTGTCGGTAACTCTAGTTCCAGGGGATCTGACACCCTCTTCTGGCTCTGTGGGGTATTGCATGCACATGGTACACTAACATGTACCAAAACACTCATACACATAAAATAAAAATAATAAAATTTTTTTTAATTTTTACTTTTTTTGGGGGGGTCTTTTTGAGACAGGGTTTCCCTATAACTCCAGCTGTACTAGACTGGCCTTGAACTCACAGAGATCTGCCTACCGCTGCCTCCTGAGTGCTGATAAAATATATATTTTTAAAAAAGAAATAAGAATCTCAGGGCTGGAAAGATGGCTTAGTGGTTAAGAGCACTGGCTGCTCTTGCAGAGAACCCAGGTTCAGTTCCCAGCACCCACAGGACAGCTAACGATCATCTGATCATCTGTAACTCCGGTTCCAGGGGATCTGACAACCTCTTCTAGTCTCCTCGGGCATTGCATGCATGTGATGCATTTACATACATGAAGGCAAAACACTTATATGCATAAAATAAAAATAAATTTTAAATTCCTTTTAAAAAGAATCTCCATCTTTTGGAGGGGGGAGCAGAGGATTGTTTCTGTCCCTATTGGGTCTTCCAGTTAACAGTCACTAAAGGCTGTCCACTTCACCCCCAAGTCCCACCCCAGGGACTATGCTCCTGTCTAGGGCCTTTGGCCTTACCAGCTGTGTCCTCAAGACAGACATTTGGGTCTTAAAGTACCCGAGGCACCTAAGCCTGGCATGGTAGGCATGCAGGCTGCCCTGAAAACCCTGTTCATAGGTGACCTGCCTGCCCCCCAGGCTAGACATGCCACCATTTCTACTTTTTTTTCTTTTTTTTTTTTTTTTTGGTTTTTTTGAGACAGGGTCTCCCTGTAGCCCCAGCTGGCCTGGAACTCACTATGTAGACCAGGCTGGCCTTGATCTCACATAGATCCACCTGCCTCTGCCTCCCAAGTGCTGGGACTAAAGGTGTGCACCACCACACCTGGCTAAAGATTTATTTTTAATTATGTGTATATGTATGTATTTGGGAGTGGTATGTGCACATGAATGCAGTTGTCTGCAGAATCCAGAGGAGGGCATCAAATCCCATGGAGCTAGAGTTACAGGTGATTGTAAGTAGCCCAGGATGAGTTCTCTGAAAGAGTAGTACAAGCTCTTAACTGCTGAGCCATCTCTCCAGTCCTAGACCACCATTTCCCATTGTTAAGTTTAGTGTCTACTGTCTCCACCAGGAGAAACTGGGGTCCAGGTAGAGACAGGAAAGCTGCAAGCTCAAGGCTGTCTGTCGCTCTTGCTTTGCATCCTTGGAACCACACAGCCAGCGCCCCACTGACCCTGGTCAGGGGGCTTCCTGCTGCCTCCTCCCTCCAGCGATAAGAAGCAGGCTGAGGAACGATGGGGAAAGAGGGAGAGCTATGTCCCTGACAAGGTAACCCTTTGTGCACAAATAAGATTTGTCTTCTTCTCCAGTGACCAAATCCAAGCTTGTATAATGGGTTGAGTACCATCCCCCCTCCCCCACCCTGCAAATTCTTTTTATTTTACTTTATTTATTTATTTATTTATTTATTTATTTATTTATTTTTTGGTCTTTTTTTGAGACAGGGTCTCCCTGTAGTCCCAGCAGTCCTGGAACTCGCTATGTAGACCAGGCTGGCCTTGAATTCACAGAGCTCCTCCTGCCTCTGCCTCCCAAGTGCTGGGATTAAAGGCGTGTGCCACCACGCCCGGCTTCTTTTTTATTTTTTAAATATTGAATTATTTTTATTTTATGTGTATGCATTTATTGCCTGCATATAGGTAAGTGCACCTGTGCCATGCAATGCCCGTAAAGGACAAAAGAAGCTGTCAGATCCCCTGGAACTGGAGTTATGGACAGTTGTTAACTGCCATGTGGGGTGGGTACCAGGATTTGAAGCTGGATCTTCTGCAAGAACAGGCAGTGTTCTTAACTGCTGAGCCATCTCCCACCCCCCAACCCCCCAGAAAACCTGGAACCTCAGGATGATTTTATTTAGACATCTTTGCAGATGGGTCTTGATGTGAAATCATCCTGGGCCTAGGAAAGGCCTTAGATCCAATGACTGGTGTTCCGGTAGGAAGAAGGCTTGCAGATGGGAGGTACAAATTAGAGCAATGCTGTCATGACCAAGGAACTCCAGAAACTAGAAGAGGCAGAAAGACCCTCCCTCCCCTAGAGCCTTCATAAACCATGGTGACTCCATGACACCCCAATTTCAGACTTCTGGTCCCCAGAACTAGGAGAGAATACATTGCTATTGATCTGAGTCACCAATTTGTGGTGGTATGTATGGCAGTCCACCATCTCCCACCCAGGTCCTCCAGCTCCCTTGCCAAATCCTGAGAACTGCCTCCCAAAGCTTCTTCCTGCCACCCTGCCTTTCCATTCTCACTTCCCCTCCAGTGGGGCTGATGAGATGGCTCAGCAGGTAAAGACACTTGCTGACAAGCCTGATGACCTGAGTTCAAGCACCAGGACCCACACAATGGAGAAAGAGAACAGACTCTCGCAAGCTCTCCTCTGACCTCCACATGTGTGCATGGCACACTTACAACTGCCCACACACACACAATCAATCAATCAATCAATCAATCAATCAATCAACCAATCAGTATAATCAATTCCCCTCAGAAACTGACCCTCAGCTCTCCAGTCCACTAGGACTTCATGTTTGCCTGGTAAAGTAGACCTCGCATTCGAGGCCTCAGTTACTTGGGCACGACCTACCTTTCCAGCCTAGCCTCTCCCAGTCCCACCACTAAGCATTTGCATACATTTCCCTCCGCTTGGAGCATCTACCCATGTGACTACTACCAGGCCGCTGAGTCCTCCTGAAGAGGACCCTTGCCTCCGCTGCTTCCCCTGCTCCTGAAGATGCAGAAGTTTCTAGAATACTGGGTCTGCCTGGGTCCTTCACCCATTCTGAACATCTCTGCCCTTTGCAGTGTCTATTCACCAGGACCAGAATGTGCCCAGGTTGTCTCTGAAACCCTGTGGGCTCCACCCCCTGCCCTCATTCACTCAGCACATCAGTTCCTGGATGCTGCTCCCAGTAGCAGTGACAATGAGAGGTGCTAGGCAGGTGAGGTCCCTGCCATGACAGTAACTCTCCAGTGGCCCCGTGGGTAGCACTCCATGCTGAACTAGAGCCAATGCTGTTGCGTCTCAGAGTCTGTGAGGGTCTCTGCCTGGCTTCCCACTCAGCAGGAATAGACACCGCCCCCAGGTCCTTTCTTGATTTCTGTCCTCATTTCAACTTACTTTTCTTTTTCCCAATAAAACAGTTATGGTTCTGGGGTTTTTTTTTGTTGTTTGTTTGTTTTTGTTTTTGTTTTTGTTTTTTTGACCTGTTATGGAGGGAGGGGTGGAGGGGAGCAAGCTGTCTTCTCCAGGCCCTGGCCTCTCCTGTCCCTCATGGTGTGACCAGGTCCCTGCCTTCCCTACCCCCACTGGCCACACCCAGGAGGATGAAAATCATTCCACCACCTTAGTCTCCACCCTGCTCCCCCAGCACCAATGAGTCTGTAGAGGTAAGAAGCTTCCTTCCACCCAGTGCCTGCTCTGTCCTGCACTAGTTGTGCCCACTCAGCTTGTACATCTGAACTTGGGGTCAGAGACAGGCAGAGCAGAGCAGAGGGTGGTCATGGAGTCCCCAACCCCAAAACTGCAGCCCAGCTGGGTAGCATCTCAATTTCTCCCCAGCAAGAACTGCCCTGGTTTCCATGGTTACAACAGAACCTACTCTGGACTCTGCCCTCCCAGTGCAGTGTCCCCAGGGACCCCCCCCCGCCCCAGTACTCACAGTATAGCCAGGCGAGTCCCCAGGACATGGTGGTACACTGGCTTCCCTCTGAGAGCAGAGGTGCTGTCCCCAGCAGTATGTCCACAGGCCTGAGTGAGGGCCCTACATGGCCTCAGGTCAGCAAAGGTGGCCACCAAGTCAGAGAAGGGTTGGCTCAGGCTGAGAGAGGGGCAGGTGCCCTATCTGCTTGGTAGGGCAGAGGACAGCCAGGGGGCAGTGGCTGCCAGTCCCATCACAGCCCAGGAACTGGTGTAAGACAGTGGCCTTGGGGTCTCCGAGGAGGAGGAGGAAGAGGAGGAGGAGGAGGAGGAGGA